TTTTTTTTTTTTTTCAACGTTTATTTATTTTTGGGACAGAGAGACACAGAGCGTGAACGGGGGAGGGGCAGAGAGAGAGGGAGACACAGAATTGGAAACAGGCTCCAGGCTCTGAGCCATCAGCCCAGAGCCCGACGCGGGGCTCGAACTCACGGAGCGAGATCGTGACCTGGCTGAAGTCGGACGCTTAACCGACTGCGCCACCCAGGCGCCCCTTGGCTGATTCTTAATAGTGAAACAGAACTGATTCTTGATCTTGACCTTGATGGGGATCTTGATGTTTTTATGGAACCAGACGTAGACCTCTGTGTGAAGCTGATCTCGATCTACAGAGAAACACAGATCTTGATCGCTGAGGAGATGGTGATCTTGACCTCCTTTCCCTGCTCCTGCTATGTGAACAAGAGTATCATCTACCTCTGGATCTTAAATGTGATCTAGACTGTGACCTGCTTCTCCTCCACCAGCTGTCAAGATGACATTCATAAGCATAATGTCCCTTTTTGCCACATTCATAGCATCTATCATTGGGATCAAAGGAATGTTGGGCAGGTGGTTGGTCTATCAAAATCAGAGCTCTGAGGCATATTTGTTGATAATTCAACTCTCACTTGGGAACCACAAATCACCTCCCTGCCCAGGCCTCGCATTGCATCTTCTGCATATGTAGGATCTTCAAATTCCACAAAGGTAAATCTTGGAGGATTTCTCATAATCCACACAGTTCTTAAGATACTGTAATAACCAAAAGCCCTTTCTAACTCTCCTCTGCTGACACTGGTTCCCAGACTACCAACATATACCTTGGTCTTCTCCTCCACACCACCCACAAGGTGACATGATGCCTGGCTGTTCTCAATGCCCAGGGAGCAATCAGTACAAAAGATGTAGCACCGACTCAGTTGCCAATGGTATTGGCAGCCTTAAGTTTTTATTTTAATTCCAGCAGAGTTAACATATACAGTGTTACATTAGTTTCAGGTGTAAATATATTGATTCAACAATTCCACACATCACCCGGTGCTCATCACAGTAAGTGCACTCTTTAATCCTCATCATGTATTTCACCCATTTGCCCATATACCTTCCCTTTGGTAACCATCAGTTTGTTCTTTATAGTTAGGAGTATGTTTCTTGGCTTGTTGCTCTCTTTTTTCCCTTTGCTCATTTGTTTTGTTTAAATTCCACATATGAGTGAATCATATGGTATTTGTCTTTCTCTGACTATTTTGCTTAGCATTATACTCTGTAGATCCATTCACATTGCTGCAAATGTTAATAGGTTTCATTCTTTTATAGGGCTGAATAATATTTATATATATGTCTATATATACACATATATATGTGAGTGTGTATATATATATATAATCTATATACAATGTGTATATATGATCTATATACAATGTGCATATATATAATCTATATACAATGTATATAATATATATACACATTGTATGCATAATATATATACTATATATATCTACACGTGTATATATAATATATACATTATATATATATATATAAAATACATCTCACCTCTTCTTTATCCATTCATTGACAGATGGACACAGGCTGCTTCCATAACTTGGCTATTGTAAATAATACTCCTGTAAACATTGGGGGTGCATGTATCCATTTGAATTAGTACTTTTGTATTCTTTGGGTAAATACCCAGTAGTGTGATTGCCGGATCATAGGGTAGTTCTATTTTTAACTTTTTGAGGAATCTCTATACTGTTTTCCACAGTGGCTGTACCAGTTTGCATGTCCACGAACAATGCAAGGGAGTTCCCTTTTCTCTACATCCTTGCCAACACTTGTTTCTTGTGTTTTTGATTTTAGCCATTCTGACAGGTGTGAGGTGGTATCTCATTGTGGTTTCCATTTGTATTTGTCTAATGATGAGTGATCTTTTGAGCATCTTTTCATGTGTCTGTTGGCCATCTGTATGTCTTCTTTGGAGAAATGTCTGTTCATGTCTTCTGCCCATTTTTTTATTGGATTATTTGTTTTGGGGGTGTGAGTTGTATTAAGTTCTTTATATATTTTGTATAGTAATGCTTTATCAGATATGTCATTTGCAAATATCTTCTCCCAGTCAATATGTTGCCTCTTAATTTTGTGGATTATTTCCTTTGCTGTGCAGAAGCTTTTTATTTTGATGCAGTACCAATAGTTTATTTTTAGTCAAGGCTATTTTTCATAAGACAATAGACTGGTGCTCCAGGAAACTGTAATAAGTCTAAAATAAAGCTAATCATATATAACCTCCACATCACCACCCACTACTAGTATGTCTGTTACTTTTCCAAATAGAATAATACTTCAGTTTACTAATTCCCAGGGCAGTGCCCTATAAATCTTTTTTGGAGGGTACTTGGAATAGTGTTTGTTGAAGGCACTAAAAAGAAAAATTTCCACAGATAGTAACAATGTCATTTATTATTTAATCATATTAATCCACAATATCAAATTATTATAGCTTATGAATCTATAATATATGTAAAGCACCTAGCACAGTACCTGGCACACAAACATTCAGTTAATTTTTGTTACCATTATGATCCAAGATGTTACCCAAAGAATCTGCCTAGTTTAGCCAACATAATTAAAGCCACATATATTTACTTCTATTGAAGTTTTTAGTGGGTCAGATATTAAATAATTAATTTGAGGTTTAAATTAAATTTGGGAAAATGTGAGCAAATATGAGTACATGTCATTTTTGTCTACATAGAATTAAAACAATATTAAATAGCCAAAAGAGGGTGTTTTCTCTAATGTTCATGAAATGACACATTGGTGTATTTAATATAATGATGATAAAAAGTTTCTTTTATTATTATTAGAAATAAGATAGGGTCTCCATTAGCACACTGAAAACATCCATTGGTAACTTTTTGGGAGGTGTGAATTAAACTGATATCTGAGGAAACCTAAATATCTGTAAATTCATAAAAACCAACCAAAGACACAATAGTGGGTTGGTCATGAGTACAATTCAAACATGTGTTACAAATAAGCTAATTATCTGAAGACAAGTACTGGAATGAAAACTACAAATGTCACATAACTATACAGGTATTTTCAATCACATGAGGTATGTGCTGTCATATATATTATACTGATAAAAATCATTTGTATTTGATTATCATTTTTCCTTTAGTCTGGTCAGAAGTTTTTTTAAATTATTTTTTTTTTATTGGAGTAAAGTACACCTAACCTTTGCCACTTTAGCCGTTTCATTTTTTTTTTTTTTTTTTTTTTTTTTTTTTTTTTTTCAACGTTTATTTTTATTTTTGGGACAGAGAGAGACAGAGCATGAACGGGGGAGGGGCAGAGAGAGAGGGAAACACAGAATCGGAAACAGGCTCCAGGCTCTGAGCCATCAGCCCAGAGCCCGACGCGGGGCTCGAACTCAAGGACCGAGAGATCGTGACCTGGCTGAAGTCGGACGCTTAACCGACTGCGCCACCCAGGCGCCCCTCATTTTACTTATTTTTAAAGTAACTCTATGGCCAACGTGGGTCTCGAACTCACGACTTTCCAATCAAGAATCCCATGCTCTCCCAACTGAGGCAGCCAGGTGCCCCATGGTTAGAGATTTTTGTTAGTTTCTTTTGGCATTTAGATATTCTGGCCCTGTACCTTACAAATGCTAGAAAACCTGATTAATAATAATTACAGAAAGCAAACTGCATCCTTCCTGTCATTCTATTCATCATTTATCATAATTAACTCAATTTATTTTATTTCAGTACCAAGAAAAGCAAAGCTAATTTGGATAAGAAGCACAGGCTAAATTTAAGTCACATTAACTTTCACAATAGTTTTCATTTAAAAAAACTTCTCCTCCCCCATCCTGAAATCCTCTGGTAATGAAACAATAATGATGGTAAATGTCACTGACAATTAGAAGCAGTGTAGCATAATGGAAAGAAATTTGGACCAGGAGCCAGAAAAATCTTGAGTCAAGTACTTCCCAGCCTCCTGAACTTGTGAAAGTCTCTATTCTAAGCCAGAGTTTTCCATTTATTGAGGTAAGTAATCCCTGACTTAACTACATCAATGGACTTTTCAAAGGGTTAAATTAAGGTAAGTAAAAGCTGATTTTGAAAGTATACGGACTAGGCAGAAGACCTATTATCAGTCCAATGATCATTATTTTTAGGACCTGGAGAGAGAAATGGTGATTAGATACTACTGTGACTACCTTTGCATAGCAGCCTACTCATGTGTAAGTTGTAAGAGGACATATTTTAGAAGTTGGAGGAAAGTACTCGTTAAAAGTACATAGTACTACAAATGGGCTGGCTCCTCAATGGGCTGGGGTCTATAGTTATTAACATTAACCTTTCCCATAGCTACTAGTAATTCCTGAAGAGGAGTGGCCAGCACTTTCTCCTTAGCCTACAGCTGACCAAGTGGGCCTCTGCATCACTCTATTTCAGACACCAATCACAATCCACTGAGGAAATTACAGGGTCAGGAATTTCTGAGTTACTATGTGCCCAGTGTAAGTCTGTCCTAAGGGAACATATATACCAGGTGGAGAGACAAAAGATGCATATAAGAATAGGCACAAAAAAAAGGGAATAAAAGTGAGTAAAGATGGGGCTATATCTCCTCCAGGCAGTTTCTGTAGGGCTAGCAACCCCTTGGAAGGGACAATGGTTACTCAGAGAGTGATTTCAAAAATTTAGGGCTAAAGTAAATGTTTGCTGGGACTCATAACCTAAATTTATATAAAAGATGTGTAGTCAGAAGGCTGAGATTCTCGACTGGCTAAATCATTCAACTGCCCAATGACTATGGGAAAATCATTTAGAATTTCTGTATTTCAGTTTTCTTAGAAAGAGAATGGATTAATAAACCTGTCCTTAAATACAAAAATAGGGTAATACAATCTGTTCTCCCTCACAGAGTTGATATGAAGATCCAATGAGATAATGTATGTGAAACCAAATGGTTATATAATTATAAAGGATCGATACTATTATCGTTGGGGCATTTATTTTGCAAAAAATTGGAAAAAAGGGATTAGGGCTGCAGGTTTGCTTGATTTTATAGTTGCAGAGGGTTGCCTTAAAAAATTTAGATTTGCATACATCATATTAGTTAATTAACCTATAAAAAATGGTAATCTCTCAATCACAAGACTGCTTTACCCTAATATAATGAAGGACTGTGACTCATTTGCAAAATCTATTTCAAGGCTTTATTCAGGTGTTTTTTTTTTCTGGCCATGTTAGACTGTAATTCTCTGACTTTCCATCATCACAGATTCAGAGATTCAAAATAGGCTCACAAATTGAAAAAGAAATCAAGTCAAAATCCCTTTATTATTTAATTCTATACCTTTAAATAAATACAACACATCTGAGGGTATAATCTTCTGAATGCTTAGGGATAGGTTGGGGTAAAAGAATTTCATGCCTAAAAATCTCACTGGCTATTATATACATTAAATGGGTCATGGATTTAATTAAATCAAACTATTATATACATAAAATGGGTTATTTGTTGAATGGCATGAGAGTTATATGTATATTTATTTACATATAAAGACTTTATTTTTTTTTAAAGAGTAATTGTAGGTTTACAACAAAATTGAGAAGAAAGTACAGAGGTTTCTCCAATACCCCCTACCATATGCCCCCAATAGGCATAGTCTCTCCCATCATCAACATCATTTACCAGAATGGGGTTTTTTTTACCAACAATAAACCTATACTGACACATCGTAATTACTCTAAGTCCAGAGTTTGCATTAGGGTTCACTCTTTGTGTTGTACATTTTATATGTTTGGAAAAAGGTATAATGGTATTTATGCATCATTATAATATCATACACAGTATTTTCACTACCTTAAAAATCCTCTGTGCTCTGACTATTCATCTCTATTTCCCCTCACCACACCTGGCAACCACCAATCTTTTTCCTGTCACCATAGTTTTGCCTTTTCCAGAATGTCATTCCAAATTGGTCTCTTTCAATTAGTAATATGCATTTTAAAGTTCATCCATGTCTTTTCATGGTTTAAAATCTCATTTCCTTTTAGTATTGAATGATATTCTATTGTCTGGGTGAACCAGTTTGTTTAGCCATTCACCTACTAAAAGATGTCTTGGCTGCTTCCAGATTATGGCAATTATGAATAAAGCTGTTATCAACATCTGTGAGTAGGTTTTTGTGTGAAGCTAAGTTTTCAACCCCTCTAGGTAAATGCCAAGAAACTCAGTTGCTAGATCATATGGTAAGAGTATGTTTAGTTTTCTAAGAAACTGCTAAACCATATTCCAAAGTAGCTGTAACATTTTGCATCCCTACCAACAGCGAATGAGAGTTCCTATTGCTTCACATCCTCACCAGCATTTGCTGTTGTCAGTGGTGTGGATTTTGGTCATTTAATAGGTGTTTTTTAATTTGCATTTCTCTGATGACATATGATGTGGAGCATCTTTTCATGTGCTTATTTGCCATCTGTATATCTTCTTTGGTAAGATGTCTATTAAGGTCTTTGGCTCACTTTTTAATTGGGTTGTTCATTTTCTTGTTGAGTTTTAAGAGTTTCTTGTATTTTAGATAAAAACCCTTTATTAGACGTAACTTTTGTAGATACTTTCTACCAGTTTGTGACTTATTTTCTGATTTTCTTGAAAGCAAGACTTCTAAAGTCTGAGTGTCTTGAGTTCAAATTCACTTCTGGTAGTTATTATTCTATTATTTACTCCAATCAATATTTCATATCTCAAACCTCAGTTT